TAAATTAACTAACCTCAGAAAAGGTGCGAACATAAAATAAAGTTGTTGAGTCATTGGTTTCATTATACACTGTTACTTCCACTTAGAAAACCATCGTCTGAGATGATTTAATGGTTGAATTGGTTAGATCCAATGGAGAGAAGGGAGTAAATCTCTAGCTCTAACTCTCAAGAAGGTTTTAGTATTGCTATGCACCCGTAGGCGCGCAAATACGGGTCTTCCAGATCTGAGAGTAATAAAGCAATGAGAGGAGCATTCATTCTTTTGAAAAACACATTGTTCGACAAGCAACTGCTAATTTCTGAGAAGAGTGCATTGAGCACTCTAACCTCTCTCTCCCCAGAATTTGAGTTAAGTAAGTAGAGTCATATTAGATATTCATAGTCAACCAAGGGTGTCTCATTTCCCACCTTATGGGGTAATTTAATGCGTATAGCTCAATTTATTGTCTTTCCTTACGTCCTTATTATAAGTCTCTATTAACCTCTGAAATAAGGAAGAAGTAAGCATATTAACTTCACTTTTACATATTTCAAAACCTTTGTAACGTGCTTTCATCTACTTGGAACAATGGATTACTTCTAGGATTTGCGTTCTTTTATTTCAAAGTCAGGAGAAATATATATCATCAAACTCCTAAATTTGTCCATCAGCGGCGACCCTACAGATGGGAGTGGAATCGCTAATCAATCTTCTAACTTTCGCCTATTTGGGTGAACGCTTACTTTGGATGAAGTTGAGCAAGAAGAGAAACACTGACCCCATCAGAAAGAGCGGAGAATTCTCAGGGAATTTAGGTTTAAAAGACCTAAACAGCGCAAATCGAGGTACATTAAAGGCTGTTTGCAAGGTTTTTTAAATTTCTCACATTTAGATAGTGCCCAAATGAACTCCTGAGGACAAGTATTGATCAAATTTACTTTTAGATAGATGAAAGCGTCACATTCAGTCAGGGCTCATCTCTGATGCCTTACACTTTCCTAATAAGCCATTGCCCACTCTGCATGCTGGCAAAAGAACGGGAAATTTGTAAGGCGATACCACGTCAAAAGTTGTAGATAACGGCTCACACCCACCAACACTAATGTTTCCGTTTTGGTCATTGGTAATGACCAAACAACTTAGAATCAGAGGGATAGAACTTCGATCATTAAATGTTTCCCTAATCAGATTGCATGTACTGCATCATTCGAATGTCTTGTATTTGTGACATTTGAGTTTTTCAATTTATTTTCAGTGAATTTCAAATCATTAGTCGGTAATGCTTCAGTAAAAGACCGCAGTAGCTGCTGCACAAACAAGCCTTTGAATAAATCCAAATAATCCCCTTAGAAGTCTAACTAGAACGCAGGAGAGCTCCCGGGTATAAATTTGTCCTCAAAATTATCAAGGCTACGCTCAAAGAAACAAGAACGCAGAAGGTAGAAGAAGGAGAAGGAGAAGGGTGCTGGTTGTAAAAGTGTGCTAACTGCTAGCAGCGTTACATTGCGTTGAGTTGTTTAAAATCGATGCCCGAAAGGCCACACTTACTCTTCAATTTGCGCAATTACTATCGTGTCCACACTTTCGCGAGCGCTTTGACCCCAGGTAGCGTCATTAACCACCCCCACCCTGCCTCCCCCACCCCCACCCCCCTCTTCCCCAAGCCTCAATGGAAGTGTTCTGTACCAAGTTCTAACAATTATAATGCTTAAATTCAATTTCAACAAAAAGTTGAAACTTCTCGGTTAAATTGTTATCAAATGCCATTCGCCCTCGCGTTATTATCAAAATTATCGCTAATTGCAGTTGAGCTCAACTAACGAGACTTCGATTTTAATAACAAATTTGAAGACTAATACATGTAAAAGTCTTGAAATACAAATAAAACCGAAAAACTACTGCAGCAAATTGCAAAAAATTGTGCATACTTCACTGCTTTGATGTTGACAACTCATGAGAACCTCAAAAACCGAGAGTTGAGTTGATTAGTTTGATCAATATTGAGACGGAATAGTTATTTATTTATATCAAATGGCAGGCTTTATGATAGTTATCATTAGTCCTTTAGTTGACTTCAGGCTTCACAGAGGGAGAGGAACATCAAATGGAAAAAAGTCGAGAGGGGGGGACAGAAGTGTTTTAAAGATGTAAAAGAGACAGACACAAAGGTAGATGAAAGGTGAGGTGAGTACTGTGACAGTGGTCGAATATGACTTACAGTGGGGTGATGGTAGTTTGAAGGGAGAAGTCAACTGCCGAATAATAGACTTTTTTGCCGTATGAGTATACGTTGCCCAGGATGCACCACGTGGAGGTAAGTCTATCGCGCACCCCTGAGACGGAATATACTTCTTGTAAATTTGAACAGTTCTAAACCATTGATATTTCGGTGAAACACGAGCAACGTTGTAGGGGCAGTTATCAACGTAGACAAGCCTCATTCTCCTCTGAGGCGACACATTCTGAACTTTGGAAATTGACGTCAGAAACAAAGTCTCTATCATATGCTCACCAGAAATCTCTGTTGAGTAAGTATTGATAAGGTTGATTTAGCCGCAAGTATTACAATATAGTTTACTAACTGGTTCTTAAATCTCCCATAGCCAGTATGCAGTATAGTTGACTATTCCAAAGAAACAAAGGCTTCTGCTGTATCACGATTGCATTGATTACTAATAATTCTTCAAGTGTGAAAGGTTTTCTTTTCTTAATCATGCATCGTGCAAAATCATATGGCTATAGAATCATTAATTTTATCCACAATTTTGGGAGGGAAGGGGGGGAATGGTTAAGGCTTCAATACCAACGTCCTTTCGATTAAATGAAAACTGACTGAAATACAGATACGGCAATTACACATCTAGTAAATGATGTACAACCCCCCCCCCCCCAATCATTCGATCCAATGAAATAAGAACCTTTGATAGCCTGTCACTTGTTGAACTTCCAGATAATCGACATTTTTCGCTCTTCCAACAATTTGATAGGAGAATTAATGTTTTAGTGCGCCGTATGCAAGTGAAAATCACTATTAATTTATTGATTATTCTTATATGGCATCTCAAATCAGAGCATTTCCCATACTTTCGGACTCAAGACAGTGAGTGGATCGGCAGATCACTCTGGAGTGCCATACTTCGAGTTTCTATTAGAGGCCTATTCAAGATGATTAGTTGAGGGTGAGGGAGAGGGTATACTGAGAGCGAGTTATTTGTTAATTTGATCTATAAATTGAGAAGTTTGAGGGAATTAACAAATTCATGCTCAACTGTCAACTTGCAAGTGAAGGATCATATGTAATGAAATTTCGGACCTTCTTAAGGCTTTCACAATGAAAACATATTTTAACACTTGAGTTCACCTAAACTAAATTTTCAATTTATTGAGTTCGGTAGTCAAAACAACAATAGATTTTTCAATCAAAATAGTGGAATTATCGGTATCTATAGACGGACCTAATTCAAAAAAATAGTACGTCCATCGTGAATACGGAAAATGCTTTTTACTACCACCTTCGATGTTTCGTAATAAACAGCGGGAAACTGGGGTCTGGAAACTACAGCTGATCACCCGATGAAGAGGAAACGTGTGTATTTTATTATTTCAACGGGCTATCCGCACATACTTCACGCAGCGCATACACCACCAATCAAAGCCCCATATTCAAGGTCATCACACATGACTTGCATTCGCACATACGCAAAGAGCAGTGCAATAACCAGCGTCCTTCCATCGATTTTATGGCCGCCAGATCGGCCCCTTAAGATACGAACGCGCGCAGGCGTAAGGCGAGAGTGGGGTTGCCAGACGCGCGTAGGTCTGCATCTTTATGCATTACTTCTGGTTTGACCTTCAGAAAAATAAATTCTGGAGGACTTATAAGCCTCTGAGTTGGCATTCAAGTTGCGAGAAATCCAAATCAGCTATCAATTTTCATAGGATTTACAACATTGGGAAGGTTAGAGAACTATCTAAATAAGTAAAGGGAAACAAGGTATTGTAGCATCACCAGATGTTGATGCAAAAGTTTTGACTATCATTAAAATTGATTGTTGCTGTATGTTGGCGTTTGTTTTAGTCTAGACTAAAGGCTGGTGTGAACACTCCTCACCGGATGATATTGCTCTTTAAAGGGTGTTGTCTAAGTAACTAACTAATTGGAGAGTGGGCTTTTCCAGTATTTTACCCGAACAACTATGTTGACCTTTCGAAACTAACGGTTGCTTTTATCACGAGTATTTTTTGATGCTAACTTTCTGAGTATTAACCGAAGATGAACCTAAAATTACGATGTTGGTCAATTTAGGATGCTCAATAGACATCCCTCCACGTGGTGCACACTGGGCAACCTATACTCATACGGCAAAAAAATTCTATAAACTGCCAGTTGACTTCTGACTTCAAAATACCATGATCACACTGTATGCTATATTCCACCACTTCCGCAGTACTCGCCTCACCTTACCTTTTTCTCAACCTTTGTGTCTGTCCCTTTTACATTTGTGAATTACTATTCTGTTTCCCTCTCTACTTCTGTGACTTTGTCTCTTCCTCCACTCTATGAAACCCGAAGTCAACAATCATAAAGCCTGCCATTTAACATAAATACATGAGTAAATGTTGGCTGATTTTAATTCTATATGACTATAGTTACTGGAATCTTACGAAGAAATTAACAAAACTCTCTAACAATCTTTAATTGGATTTCTGAAATTGCTCCACTCAAGAAATAAGCTAATTAAATAAATTGAAACCATATTCATGGTAGGTCTTGGTGGGTTCTTGAAGAGCAGTAGCTATCAATCCCAACTTAACTGATTATGAACCGCCTTGATCAATAAAAATACAATCATGTCTGCAATTGGTTTCCATGATAGCAAATCCAAAAAAATCCAGGTGTTTTGAGACGAAAATCCCAACCAATCATAGCGTGTTAGTAGTTAAATTTGGCTTAAAGGAAGAGGAGGGTGGAGGGGGGGGGGTGGGGTGGGAACATATAAGTTTCCACAGTCAAAATATTAAGCCAATTCGGCTTCTTTACTTTTAACCTCAGTGCTGAAACCCACGCCCTCGTGTTTTTCTTTTCTGGGGTTCGATTTTTTGGTTTCAGTGCCACGAGTCCACGAATGGATTCTTGGCTGCTGAGTCCAGAACTCATTGGCCAACTTGGTCACATTCAGGCTGTTGAATCCACAACTTTAGGCTCTATTTTATTTTAGTTTACTATCCAACGTACCAACAGGAGGCCAAGAGCCAATCTGAGTTTAACATGTAAGAACTCATTTGAAGTAACTCAAGGTGACCTCTAAATTAATTAAATTATGCTGGCGTTGTTCATTGCTTTGAAAGAGAGTTAATGCAAGGAAATTATAAATTACAAAGCAGACGCAAAAATGAATAATTACTTCAATTGGTGAGTACGTGTATGCTTGCGCGCACCTATTTTGCGTGGCGATAGACTTACCTCCACGTGGTGCATACTGGCCAACTTATACCCATATGTCAAAAAATGTCTATAAACCGATAGTTGATTCCAAATTTCCATGACTCCACTGTATGTCATATTCGACTACTATCACAGTACTCACCTTACTTTACCCTTTTCTCTACCTTTGTGTCTGTCTGTCTGTCTGCCTCTTTTACATCTGTGAATCCCTCTACACATTTTTGCGAAATTTTTGTTTCTCCAATCTGTGAAGCCAGAAGTTAACTAAAGGTCTGATGATAATAATCAATAACATCATCAATAACATCAATAACTCATTTATTTATTACTCCAATTCAGAATGTACATTTTGAGTAAATAATTTACAATTAAAAAATGGTACAAAAATTAAATAAAGTTCAAACATCAACCTAAAAGGGCTTGGCCAGGAATTTGGAGCTAGACCTTTGAAAATAAAATTATTTGTACGATTGGTAGGTCAAATGAATTCAATTAAGTGGCACCTTCATTTGGGCGCCAGATATCAGTTCCAGGGCGCAGCCATCAGGGGTTAACAAAAACTAATTACTTTATACAGAAACACGGGGTTTGGTCGTTAGGGGTAAGTTAATATAGTCAAGCTTAGAGATGGGAAATGGTGTGGGGTGGGTGGAGAGGGGGGTTCACAAATAATCGACTCTTATTTTTATTTGTGTGGTGAAAGGGATGATGGCTGATTTTTCATTTTACGTAGACTACAAGTTGCGCTGGCAAACTTGATCAGTTAATGTCAAACAAGAGTTGATCACCCCCACATTGTCATGTCGATATGACCATTAACTAAAAAAAGAAATTTTATAAAATCATTCAAATGTGGGAGCAAGTGGCGATAGTCAAGCCTAAAGTAGCAACCAAAAAAAGAGCACTCACAATTATCCCTGCGTTTAATGTAGCTCCGTCCTAAGACGTCGTTTACAATCATCAAATCATGACTGAATAATGTTATAACGACGCGTAACTCATCTTGGGTCACATGCACCGATGCCAGACGATTTGCCATGACAACCAAATCAAGTGGAACTGAATTGTACATGTCCATTAAGGCATGGATGGCTCCACTTCTCCCAATATTGGTGTGAGAGAAATAATGCTCCCTAAAAGGGGTCAATTGGAGGGGGTGAGAGAAGAAATTAACTTACACAAAATAGAGGATGTAGGCGTTTCGATTGTCAAAAACACAGAAGTATTGATTGAGGTAGCGTGGCGCAAAATATCTCCCATCGGGTAAAACTCCTGTCGAAATTGGGTCACTTTGGTGAGAAGGCAATAGACACTCTAGTTCCTCAAGGGACATAAGCGTATAATGCTCACTCCTCAGAGCATCGCGCAGGTCTTCGTTCTGAGTCGTGCTGCTCATTTTGTCACCTCTTCTTCGAAATTTCTGTTTATATACTAATATTTGTTTGTTAATACATGTACTATAACGCTAAGTTAAATAAGGTAATGTACTATAAATACAATTTGTACAATTTGTGCTTATTGCATAAGGTTACCAACACTGTTATCAATTATGCCAATTCCTCCAATATCTACCTGCTTAGTTATTTGAATACCTTTGGAGACGGTGTTAGCAAGGTAGTACACGTTGCATCGTACTTACGCGTTAATGGAAAGCTAGAATAAGTCGTAATCGTTGCCAAAAAGAATTCCGCCTTGGTATTCTAATTAAATTAAATTTATCTTTGTACGCAGTTTTCTAGTTGCATCGAATCATTTAAGCCATTCTCTAAGCTAATTCGCCTCTTTTCACCAATCTTTTGTATTTTATGGCGGCGGGGGAGGGAGAACCAGAAAGACCTTTCGAAATAACCAAAAAGATCGAAACAATTAGAATTTCTACCAGGAAAATGAATGTGACAGCACCATCCTCACTTAACCTTGTATTATTTAACAGGGATATGCGATAGACTTACCTCCACGCGATGCACACTGGGCAAAGTATAATCATATGGCAAAAAGTCTATTAACCTGCAATTGAATTCTGACTTCAAACTATCAAGACTCCACTGTATGTCATATTCGACCACTTTCACAGTACTCACCTCACCTTACCCTTTTCTCTGCCTTTATGTCTGTCTTACATCTGTGAATCAAATAAAGAGCCACTGATTACTATCACTAATTTATACCAAATAATAAGTGTTTTGATGATTATCATTAGCCCTTTCGTTCACTTCGAGCTTTACAGAGGGGAGGAACATCAAAGTATGGAAAAGTTGAGAGGGGAAACAGAAGAATGATTCACAGTTTTAAAAGTGACAGAGTGACGCACAGGGAGAGAAAGAGGTAAGATGAGTTGTGTGGAAGTGATCGAATATGACATGCAGTAGGGCCATTGTAGTTTGAAGTCAGAAGTCAACTGCCGGTTAATAGACTTTTATGCCATATTAGTGTACGTTGCCCAGGGTGCACCACGTTTTTGCCGTATGAATATACGTTGCCCAGGGTGCACCACGTGGGCAGTTTGAAGTTGGGTGATGGCAGTTTGAAGTGAGAAGTCAACTGCCAGTTAATAGACTTTTATGCCGTATGAGTAAACGTTGCCCAGGGTGCACCACGTAGAATATTAGTGTACGTTGCCCAGGGTGCACCACGTGGAGGTAAGTCCACCGCATACCTCCTTATAACTATCATAAAGCCTGCCATTTGATATAATTAAATATCATTAAGCAAAAAATTAATAACAAAATAATTAGAGTTTCCTAATCAGATTGCTATCGTTAGCCGAAGTCGAACGCTGAAAAGTACTCTGCGTCCAAAATCAATAGAAGTAAAGAAAAAATTTAAGTAGCTTTCAACTCACTCAAGTACAGACATAAAGTGCTATTAATTAAAGTAGTAAATTGAATCCCTAAGTTCACATTAAGTCTACGAATTGGGCCGATTCGTACAAATTTTTGGCAAAGCTATTTCTATTTAATTGAAAAAAAAAATGCTCATAGCTGTGAAGACAAGGGAATTGAATTGCCTAATTTATTTGATTTTTATTAACTTCAGAAGTATTGCTACCGAATTTCAGAAGCCCTTACATTTCCACATTCGTGCGTGTGGGGAAATAATTCCATCTTTCACTCTTGGGGGGGGGGGGGG